TGGAGAGTTAACAGATTCTATAGATATAAGAAAAGGGACTAGACAAGGCTGTCCACTGTCACCTCTGTTGTTTGTGTTGACATTGGAAGTGCATTAGAGAAAAAAAGGAATAAAAGGAATGAAAATTAAAAAGGAAGAGTACAAATTGCAAGCCTTTCTACATGACCTGGTATTTATACACTGCTCAAAAAAATAAAGGGAACACTTAAACAACACAATGTAACTCCAAGTCAATCACACTTCTGTGAAATCAAACTGTCCACTTAGGTAGCAACACTGATTGACAATCAATTTCACATGCTGTTGTGCAAATGGAATAGACAACAGGTGGAAAGCATAGGCAGTTAGCAAGACATCCCCAATAAAGGAGTGGTTCTGCAGGTGGTGACCACAGACCACTTCTCAGTTCCTATGCTTTCTGGCTGATGGTTTGGTCACTTTTGAATGCTGGCAGTGCTTTCACTCTAGTGGTAGCATGAGACAGAGTCTACAACCCACACAAGTGGCTCAGGTAGTGCAGGTCATCCAGGATGGCACATCAATGCGAGCTGTGGCAAGAAGGTTTGCTGTGTCTGTCAGAGTAGTGTCCAGAGCATGGAGGTGCTACCAGGAGACAGGCCAGTACATCAGGAGATGTGGAGGAGGCCGTAGGAGGGCAACAACCCAGCATCAGGACCGCTACCTCTGCCTTTGTGCAAGGAGGGACAGGAGGAGCACTGCCAGAGCCCTGCAAAATGACCTCCAGCGGGCCACAAATGTGCATGTGGCTGCTCAAACGGTTAGGAACAGACTCCATGAGGGTGGTATGAGGGCCTGACGTCAACAGGTGGAGGTTGTGCTTACAGCCCAACACCATGCAGGACGTTTGGCATTTGCCAGAAAACACCAAGATTGGCAAATTCACCACTGGCGCCCTGTGCTCTTCACAGATGAAAGCAGGTTCACACTGAGCACATGTGACAGATGTGACAGGGTCTGGAGACGCCGTGGAGAACGTTCTGCTGCCTGCAACATCCTCCAGCATGACCGGTTTGGCAGTGGGTCAGTAATGGTGTGGGGTGGCATTTCTTTAGGGGGCCGCACAGCCCTCCATGTGGTCGCCAGAGGTAGCCTGACTGCCATTAAGTACCGAGATGAGATCCTCAGACCCCTTGTGAGACCATATGCTGGTGCGGTTGGCCCTGGGTTCCTCCTAATGCAAGACAATGCTAGACCTCATGTGGATGGAGTGTGTCAGCAGTTCCTGCAAGACGAATTGATGCTATGGACTGGCCCGCCCATTCCCAGGCCTTAATCCAATTGAGCACATCTGGGACATCATGTCTCGCTCCATCCACCAACGCCATGTTGCACCACAGACTGTCCAGGAGTTCAGGGATGCTTTAGTCCAGGTGTGGGAGGAGATCCCTCAGGAGACCATCCACCACCTCATCAGGAGCATGCCCAGGCGTTGTAGGGAGGTCATACAGGCACGTGGAGGCCACACACACTACTGAGCCTCATTTTGACTTGTTTTAAGGACATTACATCAAAGTTGGATCAGCCTGTCATGTTTTTTTCCACTTTAATTTTGAGTGTAACTCCAAATCCAGACCTCCATGGGTTGCTAAATTTGACTTCCATTGATAATTTTTGTGTGATTTTGTTGTCAGCACATTCAACTATGTAATGAACAAAGTATTTAATAAGAATATTTCATTCATTCAGATCTAGGATGTCTTATTTTTGTGTTCCCTTTATTTTTTTGAGCAGTGTATTAGAGGATCCACTGAAAACAGTACCTAAATTAATAGAAAGGATAGAAGAATATGGAAAAGTAGCAGGTTTGAAAATAAAGATAAAACAAAGATATTAACAAAGAACATATTAGCAAGACGAAAGAAAGAGTTACAGGAAGTCTTGGAAATCCAGGTCAAAAATAAGGTTAAGTATTTAGGGATATATATAACAGCAAGATGCAGTACACTGAAGGAGGATAACTATCTTAAACTCAAACAACAGATTGCAACAGATTTGATAAAATGGGAAAACTTGCAATTATCATTGTTTGGGAGAATATCTACAATTGAGATGAATGTATTGCCAAGAATTTTTTATTTATTCCAGACAATTCAAATCAGATTAGGGAAAGAGTTTTTTGAAGATCTAAATAAAATAGTGTAAAAATACATTTGGCAGTGAAAGAAAGCGAGAATAAAACTGAAACTGTTACAACATGCAAGAATAAGAGGATTTGCTTTGCCCAATTGGGAATTATATTATCAGGTGACAAACTTGATGTGGTGTAGTAGCAATTGAGATCCTGTAGGTGACGCTAGCGGCACACTGCAGCATCCTAGACCTATAGGGGCCTCTTGGCGACTGGCATGACCTCATTCCCTATATCTTGGTGAAGGTGGAAAGTCCCAGACTTTCGGGACTTATAGGTGACCTCATTTTACTAACATCACCACTAGTCTTTTAAGGATTGGTTGGGAGGTTGTACCAATGTGGTTGAAAGGTTTCACCCATGTGGGATCTATTCTCCAATCCAGATGCTGTATCTATGTTGCCTTTGTCTTCTTGTAAAAACCCTATAATGGAATAAACACTGCCCATGCAGTCAGACATCTTGGAACCCTGCACGATGACTGATCGTTGAAACCCATCATTTTGGCACCCGAACAGGGACATGAACCCTGCGTGGCGGGGCTATCAACCCTCCCGGGTGGGCAACAGCCAACATGCTTACCATCAGACCCCTAAGGTGCGCACCTTTGTCCTACGAGACCCCGGGTCCTTCGGGACCCATCAATGGTAAATATGGGTTGCAATCTATCTCAGCATCAGCAGGAACATGTTCAGGAAATTAGATTCCTGCTACATGAATCAGGTGCAAAAGTACACTGAGGCTAGACAAAAAAAAACCTGGTGGGGGATAGGGAAATGGTATCCTGAGTGCAATAGAATAGAAGAGAAGAGAAGAGAAGAGAATAGAAGAGAATAGAAGAGAATAGAAGAGAATAGAAGAGAATAGAAGGTTAAGGATACCCAAGGCTCCAGTTCAAATATTACATCGATGGTATCAACGCTGTCATGCAGTGGAAACGTCTGGCTCTGATGTCTCAGCAAAATAATAGACTATAAGCCCCCCTCCTGATTATGGTCAGGTAAAAATTGTCACTCCAAAATCTTCTCAAATTGGACTTTCAGCTCCTTCTGAGCAGGCTAATTTTTTTTATTCTCCAAGGCCATTGTACACCCCCATAAGGCAAATATTAAAGGAACAATTAGAAAAAGGGGGGAGATTTAAGCTAGAAACCCAGGACAGAGACACATAAATTTATTTGTTAAAATTTTTTATGTTTAATCTTCTTTAATTATTTAATGCTTAAGGAGATAGAACAATGGATGTAACTAGAATGCAGGCAACTGCTCTCTTCTGATGCACTGGGTGGCAGAATTGAATTATGCTCCATTGAGTTCAATGGTCCACAGTTAGCTCTGCTGTTCAGAAGCATGGAACGAGACACAGATCCGTGTTTAAAATAGAGCCCCTCCATAAAGTACATTGGGGTTGATCAAAGAAGATATGGTTAATTTATGCTGTTACGTGTGATAGAAAGAACTAAGAGAAGAAGAAAATGTTTACCATTCTTTTCATGATGAGATTTTCATTACAACTTCTTAGCTGTGTATGTATAATAATGTATAATTGTCTGCAGAATAGAGCTTAGCTGTGTATGTATAATAATGTAAAATAATTGTATGCAGAATTGAATAGGATTGAATTGAAAAAATATCCTTTACCTGTGTATAGCCCTAATTGGAACTGCTGCAGTTCAAAATAAATTAATTGTAACATGTTTGGCAGCTAGAGAATTAAAATTGTTTTTTTGGATTGGGCTTAGAGTTGTGGGAGACAGATAGGCAGTGGTTCAGGCCCACAATAGCCTTTGTGATTGGAACCACTCCTTGAGTTATCCCAGTGCTCTGAGAACAAACTATAGGTTGTCCAAAAAAAGAAAACGTGGAGATTTAAAGGGACAAAACCTCCCCAGGTCTGGAAATGTTGTGTGTGAGAATGTGTCTGTATGTAATCATTTCCAGCCCTGGAGGGTGAGATCATCTACAATGGAACTTCTTGGCTCTCAGAAAAGAATTGTAGGTATGCAAGTAGTTTGATTACAGTACAAATTTGTGAGTATGTTGATGGTAAAAAAAGTTGGTATAAATGTTTTTGTGTTGACCCCCATCCCAGATTGAAAGGAGAGTAAGAAATGAGAATGGTCCGGACATGAAAAAGATCCCATGGAGAAATGTATGTGATTTACTGGAAAGAGAGGATTATTTGTGTGTGCATTTGTGTGTGCTTTACTGATAATGAAAGTTATTTGTGTGTGATTTCTTCTTGTCCTCACTGGTTGTTGTAAAGGCGGAGGCAGGAGGGTGGGGGGGAGAGTGAAGCTTTCGATCACTTTAACAATTTTTTTTCTCTGCTTTGAGTTTTTGCCTCGACAAAGATGAGGCTGGAAAATAACTTTTTTATAGGTTACATAGCTTCATCTCCTGATTTTTTTAGCAATTTTCACACAAAGGAGCCTCAGATAGATAGGCTGAGATTGGCAAATTGCCTGGAACGTTATCTGTACAGGTGGCTCAGTTCCCAGGTTGGCAGTTGGCCTGGAACCATTATCTTTGAAGATGGCTCAATTCCCAGTTTCAGCAAGGGGAATCAAAATTTAAAATTAGCTGCACTCTGTACATGCTCTTAATCCATATTTTGATTAAAGCAGAAAATTAACACTAAAATTTGACTCCATCAGGAGGATTTACAGCAAGAATGTGAAGAATGCATGGCTATTGCCAGCACAACAGGTAAAATCATGAAAGGTTTACAATGGGCTTTGCAAATAACTTTTTCTTCTAAATCTTGATAAGTACAATAAGGTATAAATGGTGGAGTTGTGTAAATCTGATTTTCAATTTTATTTTTAGAAAAACTTATCTCTTCAATGTCCTTTACCTATGTAAGCTGTATTGTTTGACTAAAGAACTTTGGCTTGCTTGCTTAATGACTTCTTCCTTTCCTGTCCTTACAAGGATCGTCATGATGATACCTGGAAAGTGTCCTGCTATTTTAACTTTCAAAACTTTTTCTCAACAGCCTTTTGATTTCATCTCTGACTCTCAATATGTGTGTTAACTTACTTTTAATCTTCCAGGTGCTTATATTACACCCAGGATTGTCCCTAATCTTATGACCTTATTTTTAATTTTGCAACAGTTACTACAAGACCGAAGGTATTTCTTACATACGTAGACACTCGCCCCTTTCTGGGCCTCTTTCTTAAGGCTATAGCTTTGCTGAGTTTTTTTTCAGTCACTCTTTTTTTCCATCAAAATGCTAGAGGCCTGGCAAAAGCTTGCCATATTCCAGTTAATCAAGCCAAGCAGATTGTTTCATCCTCAACTTTGGCAAATGGATGTTACCCACAAGGCAAGCCCTCTTTTTTACAACATGATATTTGGCTTTTTTGCAATTTTGTACAACCTGGAATATAGCCAGAATGGAACATGCTCATCGATCATTTAAGGCCTGTCTCCACAAATAAATAAAACAGGAGGGAAAGGGTCTCTAAAAAGTTTTAAAAAGTAGTTTTAAAAAGTATTATTTATCTTAAATCAATTGAATGCAATTGAATGTTTCTATTTACCTTACATTAATTGAATGTCCTTACATTAATTGAATGTACCTTAAATTAATTGAATGTTTTAGTTAACTATTTGGGGCCAAGGGCGCAGGGCTGTGTTGTTGTGTTTGCTCCTACAGGATCTTTGTGGATTCCAGCTTGTTGTGTCTGCCCAGCCAAGGATGTCTACACCAATCCCCGGATCCGGTCCCAGTCCCAGTAATTTCACTTTACAGATGGCACAGTGTCCAATCTAGGCTCATTTGTTTATGCTTGATTGTTTACAGCATCAGTGGCTGTCATTTCACACAAACACTCACTTGAGCAATGAATGAAGTAAAACTTATGGGTGCAATTGGCTAACATCAGACAGAATGATGTGTTTTGCTTATCTGAAACCTATGATATGGAAATTTTGCTTTCTACATGTTTAGTTCCTGTCTGCACTCCTTCTGCAGTAACTAAAAACTTCAGGATTTGCTGCTGATTATGCAATTACTTTACACACCTCAATGGTAGCAGTCCCTGTAAATATAACTTGCGCAAAAGTAGTTAATTGTACATCTTCAAGTAAAAAACCTCAGTCATCGCATTAGCTCACCTACTTTGAACTGCACAGCTTTTGAAGAGACTTTAACTTTGCTCATGATTGGCTACAGCAAGGATGGTTTTTTACATGTGGTCAAGAAACTTTTAATTATATTCCTGCTAATATTAGTGAAGCGCAATGCTGTCTCAGCCGGCTGATTCCTGTTTTGCTTTCTAAATAACAAATTCATCACTTGAATTGTTCTCAACGTGGGGTAACACTAGATACACTTGTGACTCTGAAGGAACTTTTTCTTATCCAATAATACACAGCTCAAAAAAATAAAGGGAACACTTAAACAACACAATGTAACTCCAAGTCAATCACACTTCTGTGAAATCAAACTGTCCACTTAGGTAGCAACACTGATTGACAATCAATTTCACATGCTGTTGTGCAAATGGAATAGACAACAGGTGGAAAGCATAGGCAGTTAGCAAGACATCCCCAATAAAGGAGTGGTTCTGCAGGTGGTGACCACAGACCACTTCTCAGTTCCTATGCTTTCTGGTTGATGGTTTGGTCACTTTTGAATGCTGGCAGTGCTTTCACTCTACTGGTAGCATGAGACGGAGTCTACAACCCACACAAGTGGCTCAGGTAGTGCAGGTCATCCAGGATGGCTCATCAGTGCGAGCTGTGGCAAGAAGGTTTGCTGTGTCTGTCAGCGTAGTGTCCAGAGCATGGAGGCACTACCAGGAGACAGGCCAGTACATCAGGAGATGAGGAGGAGGCCATAGGAGGGCAACAACCAAGCATCAGGACCGCTACCTCCGCCTTTGTGCAAGGAGGGACAGGAGCACTGCCAGAGCCCTGCAAAATGACCTCCAGCAGGCCACAAATGTGCATGTGGCTGCTCAAACGGTCAGAAACAGACTCCATGAGGGTGGTATGAGGGCTCGACGTCCACAGGTGGGGGTTGTGCTTACAGCCCAATACCGTGCAGGACGTTTGGCATTTGCTAGAGAACACCAAGATTGGCAAATTCGCCAGTGGCGCCCTGTGCTCTTCACAGATGAAAGCAGGTTCACACTGAGCACATGTGACAGATGTGACAGGGTCTGGAGACGCCGTGGAGAACGTTCTGCTGCCTGCAACATCCTCCAGCATGACCGGTTTGGCAGTGGGTCAGTAATGGTGTGGGGTGGCATTTCTTTAGGGGGCCGCACAGCCCTCCATGTGGTCGCCAGAGGTAGCCTGACTGCCATTAGGTACCGAGATGAGATCCTCAGACCCCTTGTGAGACCATATGCTGGTGCGGTTGGCTCTGGGTTCCTCCTAATGCACGACAATGCTAGACCTCATGTGGCTGGAGTGTGTCAGCAGTTCCTGCAAGACGAAGGCATTGATGCTATGGACTGGCCCACCTGTTCCCCAGACCTGAATCCAATTGAGCACATCTGGGACATCATGTCTCGCTCCATCCACCAACGCCACATTGCACCACAGACTGTCCAGGAGTTGGGGGATGCTTTAGTCCAGGTGTGGGAGGAGATCCCTCAGACCATCCGCCACCTCATGAGTATGCCCAGGCATTGTAGGGAGGTCATACAGGTACGTGGAAGCCACACACACTACTGAGCCTCATTTTGGCTTGTTTTAAGGACATTACATCAAAGTTGGATCAGCCTGTCGTGTTTTTTTCCACTTTAATTTTGAGTGTAACTCCAAATCCAGACCTCCATGGGCTGCTAAATTTGATTTCCATTGATAAATTTTGTGATTTTGTTGTCAGCACATTCAACTATGTAATGAACAAAGTATTTAATGAGAATATTTCCTTCATTCAGATCTAGGATGTCTTATTTTTGTGTTCCCTTTATTTTTTTGAGCAGTGTATATAAAAAGGAACAAACAGTTAGATATGGTGAGATATTGGAATGAAAAGGGTGAACTTAAATCTATGCAAGCATTGGAAGAACAAGGTATAAAATGAATTGGTTTTCATATGCACAAATACAATCTAGATCTGATAAAGATCTTAAAACAGAAAGTTTCTAGGGTAAGTTGACTGATTTAGATAAAATTTTGATAGGTACTGATGAAAAGGTAATTAAAAAACTTTATGGACATTTATTAGAATTTAAATTAGAGGAAGAACAAGTTAAAGAAACAATGATTGCTTGGGGAAAAATTTTGGATATGGGATTTAGAGAAATGGCAAAAATTGTGGTCTCAAAATTATAAAATGACAATGTCAACTGCTTATAAAGAAAATTTGTATATGATGTTTTACAGGTGGCATCTACCCCTGATGAGAATTGTCAGAATGTTCAAGAACAAATCGGATAAATGTTGGAAATGTCATCAGATACCTGGTTCATATTACCATATGTGGTGGACATGTTCGGATTGAAAAAGATATTGGACTAAAATCCGCACATGGTTGGAAAAAATGATAAAACAACACATAGACTTTAAACCAGAGATATTTTTATTGGGAATTATACCGGAAATATACAATAAAGAATTGAAATATTTGATTGTAAATGTTTTAACAGCAGCTAGAATTGTATTTGCTAAGAACTGGAAAAATGAAAAAATACCTATGCAGGAGGCAGTTATTAAGAAAATTATGGACTGTGCTGAAATTAGTAAATTGACATTTGAAATTAGAGAACAAGATAAACAATTTTATATGATATGGGATTTATTTTATCAATGGCTAGATAAAAAGACATGGCAATGAAATAGACTAAGTTTCAATAGATCGATATAGAATATAATACAAAATATATAACCATTGGATGAATGTATAAATTTATAATAAAATCTAGAATATCTGCTATAAAATGATGGAATAATAGTTTAGTCAAATGAATGATTAATAACTAATATATAAGCATATGCTAGATTGATAATCTGAGAACCTATACAACCTGTGAGTAAGGACTATGAAAGGATAGCACAAAAGATTTGTAACCAACTGACACACTGTATGTATATAATTGGAAGATGGTTTTATGTTTTTATGTTTCTGTCTGTATATGTTTGTCTTAAAAAATAAAAAATATTTTTTAAAAAAGAAAAGAAACTTGTGAATGGTCTGATTTTGGGACAGGGAACCCTTTCTATGCAAGAACAAAACAGAAAAAAGAGCTGCTACCTGTCTACACAAGGTATTAGCTGAGAGGCCTTTGTCCAGACCCTCCTGCAAAAAATCCAGAACGTTGGCCGTTGAGGTCGAAGAAGGGGAAATCCTGATTTTGTGACACCACTGGCAGAATGCTTTCCAAGTGACTTGATAGATCCTGTTAGTGGAAGGTCTTCTGGCCGCTAGAATGGTCTGAATGGCCCGCTCTGAAATCTTCTGCCTCCTCAGCGTGCTCCGCTCAACCGCCATGTGGTCAGATGGAACCACTGAGGGTCTGGGTGTGATATCTCTCCTTAACAGAGAGTGACTTTGAGAGGAGGGATCCTCCAAGGGCGGGAGCATGAGAGGTTCACCAGATCCGCAAACCAGGGGCGTCTGGGCCAGGAAAAAGCCAACAGTAAGACCTCCGCCTCCTCCTCCAAAATTTTCTGGATTACAGCTGGCAACAACAGAAGAGGGGGGAAGGCATACAGGAGGCCCTGAGGCCAACTGATCCTGAGGGCATTGGTCCCTTCTGCTCCTTGGTTTGTGAACCTGGTGAAGAACCTGGGAAGTTGGGCATTGGAGAGAGGTGAACAGGTCCACCACTGGAAGTCCGAACTTACAAACCAGCTCCTGAAATAAGAGGGGGAATACTGCACTCTGAGGGGTCAATTTTAGCTCTGCTTAGCCAGTCAGCTTGCACCCCCCCCCCCCCCCCCCCCCGATGTGTTCCACCCTGATGGAGAGATTCCTTTCAGCCCAACTCCCCAGACACTCAGCCTCTAACATTAAAGCTAGAGATCTTGTACCCCCGTCTGTTAATGTGTGCTTTGGTGGTTGTATTATCTGTCAAAGTAAGAACATGAGAATGATGTATGCTGTTTCTAAAGTGTTTGAGAGCCCACCGTACAGCCCTCAATTCCAACCAATTAATACTCTTCCCTTTCTCTAAGGAAGACCACTGGCCTTGTGCCAATTGTGAGTCTAAATGGGCTCCCCAGCCGGAGAGACTGGCATCTATGGTGATAACCATACGGGAAGGTTCCTTGAAAAATTGTCCTTCATGCAAGGCCGGAAAAGACCACCATGCCAATGACCTTTTGATTGACACAAGGACAGAGACCCTGAGGGCCGAATGACTTCTGCCTGCCTTTTGAAGTGGCAAGACGAACCATTGAAGCTTCTTGGAATGAAGTCTGGCCCAAGGCACGATGGAAATGGCAGAAATCATTTCCCCCAATAGTTGGGAAAGAAGGGCCAAGGGGGAAGAGCGAGCCTTCACTACCTCCAATGCCATTAATTGTAAACTGTCTATCCTCTCCTGTGAGAGAAACACTTTGCAAGATAATGTGTCAATCCTAGCTCCCAAATGTAATAAACTCGTGGTAGGTGAAAAATGGCTTTTCTTTTTGTCAACAGAGAAACCGTGGTCTTGTAAAAGAGTAATAGTTGTCTGTAGATCCCTTATGGCCCAATCCTTAGAGGAAGATTGGATCAAAATATCATCCAAGTAACATGGTACTCAAACAGGAATGGTCCTCAAGCGAGCTGCCAAGGTTGCTAAGATTTTAGTGAACACCCTGGGCTCAGAGGAAAGACCAAAGGGCATAGCCCTATATTGGAAATAGTTACCCAGGTAAGTAAAGCGAAAATATTGTCTGTGTGATTGGCAAATTCTGATGTGAAGGTAAGCTTCAGTTAGATCTATAGAAGTGAGGAAGTCACCCTCCCTGACGCTAGCCAAAATAGTTTGTAGTGAATGCATCCGGAAACACTTGTACAGCAAAAAAATTACTGCACCTTTTTAAATCTAGAATGGCTCTCCATCACCCAGAGGCTTTGGGAACCACAAACAGATGGGAATAGAATCCCTTGCCCTGTTGATTAATTGGGACTGATTGGATGGCCCTGATATCCAAAAGATGTTGTATTGCCTGCTCCATCAATTTCCTGCGAGATGCTACCTTGGAAACTGAACAAGGCACAAAAGATCTGGGGGGCTGAGATCTAAATTCGAAAAAAAAGCCCCGTCTAATTGTTCTCAACACCCAAGCGTCGGATGTAGTAGTCTCCCATTGGGCAGCAAAATGGGATAGTCTGCCCCCAATGGGAAGGCCACTGCTACATTTAGTGGGAGCACCTGAAGAAGCGACTTCCTCCCCCACGAAAGGCCTGAGAATTGTGGTCTATCTCTGGCTGCTCTGTCCTGGGGACGTTCCTGACGGTTGAAAGGCTGTCTCTGTGACCCTTGAGTCCCGGAACTGCCCTCTCCTCTGAAAGAGGATCTGCGATTGTAGGAAGCTGCCCTGAAATTGGAGCACCGTGCCAGAGAAGGGAGATATTTCTTCTTATCCCTGGTTTCCACCAGGTGGGGCTCCAAGACTTCTCCAAACAACTTGTCCCCTTTTATAGGTGAAGAAGCCGCTTTCCACTTTTGACGCCCGTCAGCTTGCCAATTCTTAAGCCAAAACATTCTACAGGCAGCAATCAACGTGGCAATGGCCTTAGGGCAGCAATCAACGTGGCAATGGCCTTAGGGCAGCAATCAACATGGCAATGGCCTTAGAGGCAAACCTGACACTGTTCAGAGTTGCATCTGCTGTAAATTCTGCAGCAGCCACCAATTTGTGAATGTCCTGGTGAACTCTAACATCAGAGGCTGGGACCCTGTCCTGTAGTTGGCATAGCCACCTTAAAGAAGACCTCATAAAGAAAGAAGCCACCGAAGCAGCCTTAACTGCCCATGCAGCCGCCAGGTGAGTGCGTTGGAATGATTGTTCAATCCTCGTCCTCAGCTTTTAGCGCCTCCCCTGAGTCTGCAGGGTTGGAGGAAGCAGAAATAATAGCAGCTACAGGTGCATCTTCCGTGGTACGGAAGGTACTGGTGAGTTCAGGCCCCATAGTAAAGAAGCGCCGCTCACTGGCAGACTACATTGTGGATGTACCTGAGGCTTCCATCTGCTTATGGATAACATTCAGGAATAGCCTAGGGACAGGAACCATTTCCGGTCTAACTGCAGGTTCATTGAAAAGTTGGTCAGGAAGGGACCATACCATCCCCTTCTATTTCTCCAACATCAGCCTCAGGTCCTAATTTTGCTGTTTTCTTGGCTTTGAACAATAATGCTCGAAACTTCTGAACATCAAAAAGGCCTGTAAAGGAAGGCCTCTTTGGGGCCATATCTTCAACCTCTGAAAAATCAGACTCCTTTTTCTCTTCCTCATGTACTCTGTAGGTAACACTATGCAAGGGAGGGACAGGAGACTCCTTGTCCCTAAGAGTCTTTGCCTCTATCATGAAAAGACCTCTCGATGACTTCCGGTTTGAAGGGCTTCGGCGACAGACAGGAATCCGTGATCGTGCGCGGTTTCTGCCTGGGCTCGCCGCTGGAGCGCCCCGAGCCGGCTGGCTTCGGGGCTAAGCCACCCCGTAGAGGTGGTGAAGAAGGGGGAGACTGCCAGCAGGGTCGAGGAGAGCCGCATCTCTCCTCCTCAGCTGGCCAATCTCCCTTTCCCGAAGGTGGTAGGAGCGGCGGTCAGAAATGGCCGCCTCAAAGAACAACTCAACCAGAAAAGAAAGTGCAGGAGAAAGATAAGAAGTGAAAGTTTTGGCTGACTGGGTTAAGCTGAAAAAACAACAATTAAGGTACCCTGGAATTTAAATTTTACAAAATATAACATCGCTCCCAAAGAAGATTGGAAGCAGCGAAAGAAAGTGAAAAGGGAAAGGTTTTTTTTTTCTTCTCTCTCCTTCCTTACATTGACAACTAAGAGATCGGAAATCGGAAAAATTTGCTTTGGCATCAATAGGCAATTAAGCTGAAAATATAACTAAATGCCAGAGACAATAAAGATTTCTGGACATTGATGTTGAGACTTCCGGTTTGCAGGGCTTCGGCGGCAGGCAGGAATCCGCGATCGTGCACGGTTTCTGCCTGGGCTCGCCGCTGGAGCGCCCCGAGCTGGCTGGCTTCGGGGCTAAGCCACCCCGTAGAGGTGGCAAAGAGGGGGGAGATCCCAGCAGGGTCGAGGAAAGCCGCATCTTTCCTCCCCAGCTGGCTAAACTCCCTTTCCCGAAGGCGGTAAGAGCGACGGTCAGAAATGGCCGCCTCAAAGAAGCACTCAGCCGGAAAAGAAAGTGCAGGAGGAAGTTAAGAAGTGAAAGTTTTGGCTGACCGGGATAAGAAGCAACAATTAAGGTATCCTGGAATTTAAATTTAAAAAAAAAGATACATTGCTCCCAAGGAAGATTCGGAAGCAGCAAATGAAAGTGAAAAGGGAAAGTTTTTTTTTCACTCTCCTTCCTAACGTTGACAGCGAATAGAGATGAATGAGAAATCGGAAAAACCCACTTTGGCATCAATAGGTAATTAAACTGGATAATTAAATGTCAAGGGGATAATAAGGATTTCTGAACACTAAAAAAAAAACTTTTTTTTGCTGTTAAGTGGGAAGGGAGAGGAAAAGAATAAGAGCAGATTCTCTTATTCTCATATTCCATTCACCTTTGTGCAAGAAGCAAACATCTCAATCTGGGAAGTGTGAAGCCAACATTCAAATCTCATTGCCGGGTGAGCAGAGGCAAGAAAAAACACATTCAAGTCAGAGGTGGTATTCAACCAGTTTGGGCAAACCGGTAGCGGTGATTTGGCATGGTTCGCCCGGTTGCCCAATTGCTCATTTGCCCGTCGCTCTCCTAGCTTTCCCCACCACGTGGCAGCCGTGGCGCAGCTTGGGTGGATGTCCCAGGGCTGCTGCACATGTGCACTGCATATGCTACACATGGAGTGTGCATGTGCAGCAGCCCCAGAACATCCGCCCACCTGAAGCATGTTTTCTTCCTTCTCCCAGCAGATGCACCTCTTCCAGCCTGGCCCGGCCCAGACCAGCCGGCCAGTTGGGGGAGGATTTCTGCCTGAAAGAGGCGGTTGGAGACTGAAAAAGAGTTGCCTCCAGCAGTCGCCCCTTTGGCCAGCTGGTCTTCTCTCCCTCGGCCATACAAAACGAACAGGCAGAGAAAGAGACCAGGCAGCCGATTCGGGGAGGATTTCTGCACTGTGAAAGAGGTGGCTACTGATCTCCTGCTTCGCTCCGCTTCTCCAACAGTCCAGCGCCCTCCTGTTCTATGCGCCAGCTGCTCGGACTTGCCGGGCTCAGCACATAGAACAGGGCATACTGGTCTGCAGCCACACTGAAAAAAGCATGCAGCAGCTGCAGGAATCTTGCGACAAGGGGGGCGAGAAGCCCCGGGACATGTGGTCACCTGCTATCTGGCCGGGTTGGGCTGGAAGAGGCGCATCCGCCAGGAGAAGAAAGCGTGCTCCGGGAGGGCGGGCGCTGGGCAGGCGGGCGGATGTCCCGGGACCACTTAAAGGTCGACTTTAAGAGCGCCCCCATGGAAGAAGCCAAGAACCGAGAGCAAACGTAGTAGCGATGGGGGTGACAGGCATGTGTCCCTCCATAAGGTGTGTGAAGGGAGGCAGACACCGCGCCTCTGAGGAAGAGGTGCCAAAGCCCTGGCTGTTACCCGGGAGGGGACCGCGGAGGGATCCATCACACGCCCGTCGCCCCCGCTACTTTTGCTCTCAGACGGCCACAGCAGCGCCTGCAGCAGCAACAGGGCGCCGCAACAAGGTACAGTAAGATTTGGCGGTGCAAATTTATCTCTGAGGGGCTTCTGCAAAAAAACAAAAACCACCCCAAAACAAAACCCATTTGGCAGGCACTCGGCAGTCGTGATCTGTAGTGGGGGTTTCTTTTTCCAGGGGCAGGGATGGGAAGAGGTGGGGGGGGGATGTACGTAGGAAATCACCCTGTCTCTGCAACATCGGTCATGTGACTGAGTGGGTGTGGCCAACTCGTTACTCACAGAAAGGTGCCGCACCATCTTGCCGAGTTGGCCACGCCCACCCAGTCACATGACCAAGCCACACCCACCAAACAAGCCATGCCCACAAAACCGGTAGTAAAAAAATTTGAATCCCACCACTGGTTCAAGTTACCGCATGTTCATAATTCTCTTGACACCATGGAACTACAGTATTTTATCCACAAATACTTTTTTATTGGATGATGTTAGTAGATTCTAGTTAGTAGGTTCAATGGCCCACCAGTTTATGTGGCAGGAAAGCCACACGCTACACTTTAATCTTCCTCTTCATCATCTCCACCACCAGCACCGCCCTGGCCCTTCTTGGCGTTCTTCCTCTTGACACGGCCTGGCCGGCCACCACCATAAGGTGAACAGAGCGAGAAGTCAATGTGCTTTTGGGAGTCTAGCCGAACAATGAAGGAAGGGATGTTCACCACTTGCTTCCTTACACTAAAAGGGAGGAAGGAATGATTAGTGAATAATCTTGCCTAGAACTCATGGGAAATATTTGACAAAACAAACAAGCTCTACAAATATTTCCTGAGCTCACAGCCTACCCTCAACATTCAGAAGTCAAAGTCCCAATGGCCGCTGGCTTCAGGGTTATTTGCAGAGTGACTGCAAGAGGCTTCTGGATCCATCTGGAATCTAATTTCACTCAGGGATCCTTTGTGCTCTGCGAGCTTGGTTGTTTTCTTGCAGATATTTCATTACCCAAACTAGGTAACATCACAAGGACCCCTCATTTCATCCCTCAGCTCCAAATATTCTCTATTGGAAGTTTCACTCTTTAAAGGAGCAATTGTTAGTAACAATGAATTATAGAGCAATCAAAATGGTGTTATCACTGACTGGACAGTAACCTATTCAGGCAAGAAACCCACTTAATGACCAAATTTTATGCTTTGTAGTTTTAATCAGGTTTTATCCCCCAACCCCCAGCCTTCCCCCCTCCAAACCATTTAAAGTTGCCTTGGCAATGCAAGGAAGGTATGTATTCAGTGCTGGAAAAGAAGTACCACTTGCAATTTTATCACGGCCTTTATCTCCCCATAAATATACCATAAATATTCAATACACTAGAATCTTATACCAATTTACAAAACAGATATGGAACTACATTTCAGAAGTAGCCAACACACCAGGATATCATGGAAGAAACTGATTTATATGTGAAAGTTGCTGTTTCTGCCTTTATTAGGTAAAACTTACCTAATTCCAGCTGGTGGTAAAATACATGCTTCAGGAAATGGGAAAATTTTAAGTCCACCCAGTAAGTCAAAACTACAACTCTTGGCAACTTTTTTTTGCTGGGGTTGCTTACTGGAAATTTCAGCAACTTAAGACAGTATAATTTCCTTCAACCCGTTGCAAAATCCATCATTTACTTGTACAGAAGGATCATATCAGGTTACTGCTATGCTTGCTAAGTAGGAGCAGTACTGTGTTACCTTGGCCACCCAAGGTGTATGGGCAAGCCAGAGTGAACCTTGCCGAATTCTTTGAGAGTTATTTTGACACTGCTAGTTTACTGAGCTATCCAAGGTTTTGATCCACAAAAGGATTTGGTTGCATATAAAGGCCCAAGCCAGGGCCGGGGCCAGTTATCACCACACAGGCTACACATAAAAGACATTGCAAATGTTACTTCAGAGGCACATGTTCTGATGCTGACACCCAATGTCAGCAGTTATCTTAAACTTCACACTCCCCAAACTTTGGCTCTTAGCAGCATACCGGATGTGTCTCTGGCGGATAAGTACACGAGCATGATGGATGGACTTAGCCAGGCCCAGTTTAAAGACCTGGGTTTGGAGACGACGCTCCAGGAAATCCTCAATTTTCAGACCCAGGATGTAATCCAGTTTCATTTTGCCTTCATCCAGCACCCCAATTCTGACCAAACGGCGCAGCAAAGCATTGCCTGAGAGAAATTTGAGACACATCAGTACACTGAACGGGTCTTTCTATATAATGTTAAAAGAGGCAATGTTCAGATTAGCATATTTATGGTTGAAAAAGATACAACCATCAGTTAACTGGCTATGCAAAGAAATACAAATTAAGCAATCCCAGGATATAGAAATGGTATTGGGACAAGAACAGTGTCGGGGAGATTGTGGAAAGTATTAAAGTATGTGTTTCCAACTGAACAGAGCTTGAGATTATAAATCACACTCAAGAACACACTTAAGTTCAATCCAACTGTTCTGTCAATTCTCAACCACCTTGACTCAAAAAATTGATACTACGGAATCCCTACCCATTTATTTAAGAAAGAGCCCAGTATCTTAGCAAGCTCTTACACAAGGCAAGTAATGTTTTCATTACTAACCCCTTTCTCATTATTCAGGCTGGCACAGTACTTGGCTTGGCCACAGTAGCCTATCTGTTTCTGGCTGGCATTTTCTTACCTTGGTATTGTGGTTAGCCGGCAGCAGGTACGGATGGCTGAGGAGAGCGAGGACTCAGATGATGGGCCAGGACCATTAGGGAGTGGACTGCTGCCTTCAGAGATTGTGGGGGCTAGCAGCAGTGATAAGGAGGTTCCCAAGGAGCCTGTGGCAAGTGTGCGTGCGCGCAGGATTGCTCAGAGGAAAGAGCAGTTACAACAGCACAGGCGACTCGGGAGTAAGGCTGCAAGGTAATGGCCCCTCCTTCAAGAAGATAAAAGCCAGCTATGAACAAACATACTTTGCAGAAGGCAAAGACATTTTGAACTCAGCCTCGTGGACATTACAGTTGGTATTTGAAGACTCTTGTATTGTAAACTATTACTGATTGGCTCAATTAATCCTTTTGGTATTTCCATCACACATTAACTCTCCTTCCCTGACACCATTTAACATGATGTGGAAACCAGGCCATTGTATAACCTTACTAGCAGGGTACCTGTGCTTTGCTACAAAACTATGTGATTGGGCAAGTTTTTGGGGAGGAAAATAAGGGGAAAAATTGTGCGTCTGCCTACCAGCATCCATCGGTATTCATCTGGCTAGCATCCTGTCAGTGTGTGAGAGAGTTCAGGGCCGTTTGGAAACTGAAACAGTATTTGCTGTGTGAGCAAGGAGACAGCATGGAGCCTGGTCGTGGCTTAGCTGAACTGCAGGTGGAAGAGATTTCTTTTCAGGTGGGGAGGGGGAGTAGAACTCCTTAGCATCAGAGCGTGCTAATAATATAGGAAATACTAATGCTCTGATGGTCATTTTGAAAAATCCTTTCTTAGTGAGCACCTAGAAGCCAAGAAGAACATGCGTGCCAAATTTCAAGTTTGTAGGCTTTATGGTTCTGGAGATTGTGATGACGCGTGAGTGCTTTTTCACTTTTATATATATAGATAACACACACCACCTATCTTATAATCAGATTAGTGACTTACAAAGCTGGTATGAGAAACAAAAGTTAAATATATCAAAGTACTCAGCAGGCTTCAAGTGAGTCATAGGTATCCAAAACAACAGCACCAAAGTTGTTCAGTATCTAGTTTTGCCATGATATTACCTTCAAAAAGGCGCCGCTGATCTTTCTCATCCAGGGTCAGCAGCTCTCGGGCAGCTTTGCGGATCTTGGCCAAAGTGAACTTGACTCGCCATACCTCACGCTTGTTCCGCAGCCCATATTCACCTAATGAAAGAATTCTAAATTTTAAATGCAATTACTTTAAGGGTCACATCTGTTCAATCACGGACAGACCCTTGATTAGGCAAGGTTGTTGCTATAGGGAAAATAGGAAGGATTACTGAACACTTCAACAAGAGAATAATCAGGGAAGCCATTGAAATAGAGGAACACCCCCACAACATGAATAAACGGGATGATACCTTCCACCTACCAGACATCTGGAAACTAGCCCTTATCAACAAACGAGTCCCAGCCACGAAAACCAACACCAGACCAAAAACAACACATGATGCCACCACCAATCTCCCTCACCAGACTCAAACCCAAACCCATCCCATAGACGAAAGGCAACCACTGTCCAGAAACCAGACCATGGCTGCATCACCAGCTGCCACACACCCCGACCCCCAAACCAAGCAAACTGACACACGCCATGAACACATAGCCAGGCCTCAAACTCAGAGCCAAACCAAAACCCGGAACGTCACATCACAGCTACCCGCTCAGGATATCACATCATGGAACTCAGGAGGTTACACCACAAAACCTCAGGATGATACAACACAGCCAACGACCCAGGAGATTACAGCACAAGACCCAGGATGTCACAAGAATAGAACTCAAAAGGTCATCACACAGCCCATGACCCAGGTGGTTACAACACAGGAAGCTGATAGACACACAGCCAATACCTCAGCCACACATGTTCTTATGAAAAAGCCATGCAAACATCAACTCCATCAACCAATCAAGAAATAACAACACAGCCAACCTCCCCACCAGTATTTATAGAGAGACGACAGCTCCAATCACACTTTGCTCGCACAAGCATGAAGCCGAAAGCACCAGCCTTAAGATGGTGAGTGGGACCTCGTCGAAATGTTGCCAAGATACTCTCAATCTTGCACGGGAAAAGACCCGAACATGCTAAGACCTGCACATACACATACATATATATATACATACACACACACACACATATATATATATACATATATATAAAATCATATATATATAAACATATATATAAACATATATATACTTGTTTTCTTAAGTTTTCGCGGGTACTTACATGTATGGTATTCAGCTTTGTTCGGGTATTTTCCCACGTCATTATAGTTGTGCTTTTAAAGTTGTAGCAACGTTTCGGCAGAATCTCATCTGCCATCATCAGGCTTCTGTATTGTGTTCGTCTGTGAGTCAGACTTTTACAGTTGTTTGTTTTAAATTTGGGGCTAGCCTACTGCTGTGCCAGAATGGTTTTTTCTTCATCCTGATTAGTTGGGAGTCTTGGTCTGTGTTTATTGGTCTTGGAGTTTGCTGTGTTCTGCTTGATTGGTGTTTCTAATATCTTCTGTCTGTTTTGTGGCTTTTTGTGTGTGTCTTGATTGGCTGGCAACATTGTGTTCCTGTATTGGAGGCTTTTAGTGCAGCTTGGCTCCGAGTAAATGGACAGCTATCATTTGTTAGGAAGCTAGGTTTCATCTGGGTGCCTGGTTGGGGTGTGTTTGAGCTGGAGGTATCAGGGGGAATCTGTTTGTGCCCAGGTGTTTGCCTGGCTAGTGGTGTGGAGATTTGTTTGTGAGTGCAGGCTTCCAAATGATTGACAGTCTGGTGGAATCATCTCTTCTATTCATGCTTTCAGGTCTTTTTTCAATCTCTATGGCTTCTCTGATAATTCTGTGGCTGGGGTTTTCTATAGTGGCTAGGGTTTTGGTGCCATTGAAGTTGATGCTATGACCTGTGGCTTTCATGTGTTGGACTAGTGAGGAAGTGTGTTCCAGCTTTTTGACTGCATTTTTGTGTTCATCCAGGCGGGTGCTTATTCTTCTATTGGTCTGTCCAATGTATGTGGCCGGGCATGATGCACAGGGGACTTCATATATGCCTTGGTTTTCCAGGTCAATTTTATTTTTGGAGTTTCTAAGGATGGCTGCTATTTTTCTGTCTGTTTTGAAGGCAGTCTTGATGTGATGCCTGTGTAGTATCTTACTGATTTTGTCTGTAGTACCTCTTATGTAGGGCAGGACAGCTGTTCCATAGGTCTGTTCATCTTCTAGGTCTCCATTATGT